GCGCTGCAGTTTCAAGTTTTACTGCTCTGAAATACATGGGAGAGACTTTCTATGAGGAAATTGAGGTATGAAAGCGCGAAAATCAAGCAGAAATAGGCGTGGTGGTGGTTCTGGTCAGAAAGGGGGCGGTCAAAGCTGAGGTTCGCTAGCCGCGTGGCATTCGTTCCACGTGAATTGTCTTCTTGAACTTCGACTCCCACTATCGATTCGTAATCCCCGTCTAAACCATGACTAAACACAGTAAGAACAATACCGCATCCTCAATCTTCTCGTACGCAGAATACAAGAAACTCGACTATGGCACGAAAAAGGTATCTCGTCTTTCGTCTCAAAATTTCATTACATGCTAAATAATTCACGTAGCAACGTTTAGGAAACGAATCAATGCGTCGTTTCGATGCTTGTGCGCTTTGCTTGAACAGAGCAAGAGAACCACTTGCCTGTAACGAAGGGCATTTGTTCTGCAAAGAATGCGTTTATACGGATCTCTGTGAGTAACCGATCAATGACAACGGCAGCAAAAGTTTATTAATGTGTGCAGTAACGCAGAAAAAGGACATTAAACAGCAGAAAGATAAATTAGAACTGATGAAGAAGGAGGCCGAACAGGAGAAGGCGCGAGCGAAGCAGGCTGCAAGGGAAAGAGTGTTGGCTGAGTTTGAGAAGGGACAAGTGGGACTTGCTGCTCAGCCAAATAAAGCTACGACATCCTCTGGAGAGTCAGAATGTCAGTCCGATCTTATCTTTGTCTACACTCTGCTTATTTTCATTCACAGCATCACGCCCTCTCAAGCGCAAATTCACTTTTGATTCTTCCACTGTTGAAAACCTCGCGCTCGAAGCTGAAGAGGCTGCGTTACGCCAAATTGAAAAGGAACAAGCCGAGGCGCTAAAGCACAAGCTGCCAGACTTTTGGTTGCCGTCGCTGACGCCAACATATACGTCTACTGGCGACCCAAGGAGCTTACAAGACGTCAAGCTGCAGACTACTTGTCGTGGTGGGGATCCAAAACATGCGTTGGCGTTAGTTTATTCCATCGTTCCACTATGTTCCCTACTTATTTATATTTCCCGACCCGACACAGATTGAAAAACCTCATTCCCGTCCAATTTACATTCGATAAGGATTCAGCGGAGAAACAGACCATATGCCCGTCATGCAAGAAGGTGTTGTCGAATAATACACTGATTTTCCGTGAGTTCATCGTTCTCGACTTTCTTTTGTTACCCTCTCTCTACTCCATCGCTTCCGTTGTGCTTTAATATTGACCGATTGGTTTTAGTCGCCAAACCCTGTGCTCACGTCACCTGCAAGACCTGCACAGACACTCTCGTGCGTCCGGCGAAGCAATGCGTAGTATGTGATACACAGTTGAAGGACGATGTTAATAAGGGGGATATCATTGAATTGCGGAGAGAAGGTATGTTCATTACTTTCATTCAAACCATTCATTATCTTCGGGATTGGCTCGCCGTTCTATCGAGTTCGATGGTGGTTCCTCTTCTCCCGTCTCCCATCTATCTCCCTCCATTCTTTCTCCAGGCTGTCTGTAATCATTCTTCTGGTATTGATGAACTCCTTTATTCGCAGGGACCGGCTTTGCTGGCGGTGGGCTGGCAGAAACTTCCAAAGCGGGTATTGCGTTCCAAGGGTAAACACTCAGATGTACTGTCCTGGTTTCTGTCTCTACATGCTTCACATCTTGACCTGTACTTGATTGCATCCGGCCTGAGGATAGGCTGAATAGCGGGTTTGGAATGTCAGTTAGACGCACCCTTTTTTTAGACCTTGTATGTGGGGATAGCGGGGATACCGAGTTTCGAAGAAACCTATTCCAGTTCAGTTTGTGCATCTCAGGGGTTTCTTTGTGATCACGAGTGGTCTGGACAATTCATAAGCCCATACAGCTTGCGCGAATGCCGGAAAGGTGGAATTTACGTACAGCGCGAGATGACTGCGAGATGGGACAGCAGGGACAGCAAAGAGGGACAGCAGCTTGAACGTTGAACTGGTATTCAATTTCAAGCGCTTTATTCTTCCCCAGTTTCTTTCTGAACGTCCTTCGCCTCTGTGCTCTGCTCAGTGTTCCAGATAATCATCTTTCTCCTTCTGAAGTTTTGATGGAAACCTTTTCAGGCCCTGCCGGCTCGCTCCGACTCGCTATCTATCGTTTTAGCCCGGCGCCAATGCGCACTAACGCGCGCCGAACGCTGTGTGCTATATCCATTTCAGGGTACACAGCATGGCAGTGGCATTGATTCAAGGGTAAATTCTTGGATCAATCAGCACAAGGTTTGTTCCTTACGCTATTATAAAAGAAACATGTTGGGATTTTCCGAGGTTTCCGTTCCCTCGCCGTCCTGTCCGTGGACCCACATACAGCAGGGCGCTCCTGACGACTCACGAACCCTATAGCTTCTGTTTCTTTGTCACGGACGACCACGACCACACACGAAACACTTTTCAAAGAGTTACGATAAGAAGCAGAGAATCGTTATCGATATGGCATCTTCACTTGGACCTGGATCTTAGTGTCGAGCAGGATCGCTTACTCGTCGTGGACCCTGAATCCAATGTAACGTGTCAGTCAGGTTTCGATTGGGCAGACGACAAGGCTGGAAATACGCCGTGTCTTGTTGCGGCCGCGGTGGTTGGTGGATGTGGGAACTTCGGGTGAGTTTTTACTCTATTGGTGGAGGCGGAATGAATATATGTACATGGATCGGAGGATGTTTACTTTGAATCGATTAGTTTCCGAAAACGTGTCGCTGACCATTCCATTCTCTTTCTTCTCCCTTCAGACTACGACGTCCCCATATTGACTAGTGGGGTCCACTATAATACTCCTGGAGAAAACGGTCAGCCGATTAACTCGTGTACTTGGTGAGCTTTCTCCCCTCCCTTTCGGTGTTCAAGGATTACGCCTATCTTCATCTGTGATTCTCCTGCGGTCCCGGTTTCTCCTTCCAATGCGATTCAACGATGTATTAACTTCGGCAATCCTATGTAGCTCTTGGGCGGCGTACAACCTTTACAGCGCCTGTACCGCGTGTCAGGGTTTGGACGATAGTATTCTAACGTGAGTTCTCTCTTCAATGCCTTTTTTTCTTGCATACTGAGTAATTTTTTTCAAATAGGTGGGCAAACTATACGTACCAACTGTGGTGCGTTTCTCTCAAATACAACGTGCGTTGCCCGATTCGTAATTGAATGTTTACTTACTTTTTTGTACAGATACTATCCCTCCAACGTGGTAACGCTCGATAACACCTCGATTCCATACTACGCTACTACCAATCGTGCGTCTACATCTTTTTATGCTGGTTCGCTGTAATAATATGTTTCCTGTAGCTTCGACATGGACAAACGCCGTCTTTACTGTTACCCAGGCACAGAACATATCTGAAGAGGGCTTTCCAGATGTGTATGGCGCTCCACTCACCTCATCTACGCCTTCCTCTCCCTCTTCTCACAAATCCAACGCAGCAGCGATTGGAGGAGGTGTTGCAGGAGGAGTAGTAGTTCTCCTCATTGGTGCTCTCTTAGCATGGTGGATCCTCCGAAAACGTGGTTTCCCGAGAAAAGAAACGGGGGACCTCAAGAGTTAGATTCCACGGTATACGGTGCCGGCCACACTCGATCGTATTCCGATCTGACAAAAACTTCGAACATCGGCGATATGAGCTTTGGGTCTGGAAGCGGGAATGTCGGTACTATCAACATGCAGCAACTTCAAGTTCCCGGATTTTCGCCGTCTCCATTTGGATCATCGTCAAACATGGCCTCTGTCAGCTCCATGGGCGCATTTTCTACCCCGCCTCACCAAGTCATTCAGGTCGGTGGTGATGGTGGAGCCCGATCGCTATACGGCAACGCTAGTACCATCACCTCGCGATATGATTCCCCTTCACCGAGTTTGCAGTTTATGAACCGGAGTTATAGCCCGGATAGTAACGGCCACTCGTTTGTGGGAGGAGCCGAGATGATTGCTCAGCCGTTCCTTTTGCCTCCTACGTCGACTTCCCCACCTCCTCCCTCGGTTGCGGCATCGAAAGCGCGAACGTCAGTGTATGAGAATGCTCCGACAAGAAGAAGCTCGCAGGATTCCATACTCGAACACACCCATACAATGCCTCAGACGAAGGATGAATCCTCCAGCGTATGATGACGTCGCTCTCTCTGACTCCCGGGACGTTGCAGCTCAACGACGCGAGGCGCATGGAACAGGACATGTAGGCGGTCCTCCTGTCCGCCCACGCTTGGACGAGAAACGCCGGCCTTCTGAAGTCTCTGAAACCTCCCTAGGGTCGCAGGACTCTTCAATTTGGACAACCTCGGTTGGAAATGGGAATATTAGCTATGTTGGCTCAAACGCTCCGACTGCGGATCTCGCAGCGATAGATGCGTTTGTGAACCAGATGGACGTCGAGCAGGACGGCGCCTGGCGGCGAAGGTGCTCCGATGTTACATACGACGGCATTAGCACCGGGACAGCCAAGGCCTGCTTTATCGTCGAGGAGGTATACAGTGAATACCACTGTAGATGATGGCAATGAGAGTGTTCTGGAGCAGGCAGGCGGTGATGGTGATAGAGATAGCATCGCAATTGCTTAAATTTGCTGGCTTCAACAGAAAATTCAAAAACTTATACTAGTTACTAACTACTTACTACTGTGCCTACGTTTTCTGGGTCAGGTTACTGTTATTATTCAATTGTACGATGTACAGTATACGATCTTGTACAATCCTTCAATTCATTTTCCAGCCTGAATGCTGAATAGCGCTGAGCGTTGAATGGTAGTAACTGCGTGCTGAACACTGAGTTTGGAAATGGATAGCAAAGAAGTGAACAGTGAAATCTTGGAAAGCCTTCGTTGTACTAAGGCCAGAGGAATTGCTCGCAAAGCTAGTCATTTCTCTGAGAGCTCTGTACACAATCTATAGCATTAAATTACAACTCTGAAAGGATACATCTAATATCTTTCCGTCCTGTATAATCTCCCTGGTAGTATATCGGTTAGTACACGCGCTTGTCATCTGTTTTGAATTACTCTGTGCGCGCGAAAGCTGGGTTCGACTCCCAGCCAGGGAGATAGCCGTCATTTTCAATTTCAATTATTTATTTTTCTCTTTTACATTGCGATATATTGGTGCAGTTACACGAGGACACCGAGAACAAACCCCTTTCCGATTTCGTCAAATCTGTGAACAGCACGTATTGTTCATAGAATCTCTGAAATTACTGAGGTCAAAGGGCGGAGGGTGTGTATATGGAGGGATTCTGGGCTGGAGTTGGGTCGTCGCCGTCGCCGACGTGGCCATCGTAGTCGAAGAAGTGAAAGCACCACCGACACTTCCTTCCCCTCCGCCTCCGCTTCCACCCATACTCCCGTCTCCAGAGCTGGAGCTAGATTCATCGTCTCGAGGAGGATTTGAGCGAACTGATTATGAAGGATGGTTGTTGTCCCACCGTCGTTGTGGTCGACAGTTAACACCGATAGGGCAAGTGACGAGCTCGAGTTCGAGTGCACTGGCAGTAATACATGCAAAGATATTGGCAACTCTAACACTTCTAAATCAGGTTCGTATCTTGATTCGTATCTTGATTTAGACATGGATAAGAAGGGCAAAAAAAGAGAAGTAATGTACCTGTACTCATTTACCATTATTAAAGACCGCGCCAGGCTCATTTCCGCTACAGGCTCTAGAGTAGTGCGACATGTAGCAGCACTAATTCTTATTCTCGCATCCGTACCATTGGAGACGCGTTTATTTGAGCTTGCTTCTTCATCGACATCATGAGATTGATGACGTCGCTGTAGGCAGTTGCGCAGTAAGGCTCGAGGCTACTTGAAGTGACAGTGGCTTTGGGAACGGACCTTGCAAGAGCTGCAAAGCATTGACTGGAGTTCTGATCACCACAATCAGGTTCGAACGATGTTGCGCATGACTAAAGCCCAATGTCCCTCAAATACAATGGGAATTAATAGTGATAAAAAGTTGGATGTAGTGTTTGACGCGTCCCTGTTTCAATGAGAGTAAAAATGAAAGAGAACCAAGATGAAAAAGAGAAAGCGCGAAGCACTGGCGCTTATTAATTATTTAATCTTCCTCTCATTCCACATCGTTCACTGTCTCAACGGAGCTCAATTCACCGCGTACCCTTTCAAAATCTTACCAATCTGCCAAAGGAATAGTCTATATTCTCTTCTCAGCTGACACAGACGCGGCTTCCGTTGTGTGGATGGGGTACAAATCATTCTTATTCTTTCATAGGAGTCGGAGCCACGCTCGTCAATAAATTGACTTTCACTTCACTGGCACTTGGGTTGAGTCAATCGCAGTCAAGTCAATTATTCAAAAACTCAATATTCAATTGTTATCCATCGCGTTTGACGGCCATAATCGGTTATAATTATGTTCGGTGCGTGGACCTTATATAGTCGATTATCATTGTACTTACCAAGGTGAAGGTCTTTTGGCTAGTTTATTCCCATGTTGGCGAAAATTCAACTATTTGGCTTACTCAGTTGGAAGCTTCAGCGCGTTTGACGGTTTAATCCAGGAGGCGACTGTTCAATAAATTTTGCTTTCCGCACAAAAGCTATAAATACAGACTCAAGAGTCTCGAGATTTCATTCTCTATTCGCCGAAGACAACAACAACGAGAATGTCTAGCCCCACTATTGACCATCACGAAGCCGAGTTGGCCAAAATGCGTGAAGTCGTCACGGAGGACCCGCAGAGCTGGGATATTTTATGGCAAGTTTGTCCTATTTCCACTGGCCAGCATTTCATTCATACTGAACCATAGGAAAATGAACGTTCTTCCGTGGGATGCTGGCGAAATTCAACCGCCATTGCGTCAAGTTATCGAAGGCGGAGAGGTGCCATTTCCAAAAGAAGGAAAGGCTTTGGTACCAGGGTGCGGAAGGGTACGTGTATAATAATATGGCTTCAGTGAGATGCCATTAATCGTGGTCTCTTGTAGGGATATGACGCGATATATCTAGCTTCTGCTCTGGGACATGACACAATCGGTCTCGATTGTTCTGCTACTGCTGTAGAGGCAGCACAGAAGTAAGTTTCCACTACCCATTATGCATAAAATCGTGAATTCCTAATTCAAATATAGATTGCTGCAATCGCATTCCGTCAGCCCTGAACTGGCGTCGAAAATCCACTTCGACGTGGAAGATTTCTTCAAGCTTAAAGTCAACGACGACAAAAGGTTTGACTTGATTTACGACTATACGTACGTCTATTATCTTTCATTTTGTCCGATGATTCACTGCTGAGCGGTCGTGAAGCTTTTTTGTCGCCCTTCCACCCATCCATCGTTCTCTTTGGGGAACGCAAATGAGAGCTCTTGTCAAACCAGGAGGATACCTCATCACGTTGATGTTCCCATTGGTTTCTGAGCCTTTTGATAACGGTCCTCCCTTTTATACCGACTTTGATTCCTACAAGGAGGCGCTTGGTGATGGATGGGAGGTAGTTCTGGACAAGATCCCTGATGACGCAACGTTGGCCGAGAGGCATAAGGGAAAGGATAGGGTGGTTGTTTGGAAGCGGAATGTTTAATGTTTAAAGTCGCACTAAACATGTAGGGACTGGAAAATCGTCTTTGTTCTTCTCAATATTGTCCCAAATCTTATTGGTTATCTGATCATCGTCGAGCTGTCCCATCTTCGAAGATTCGATAGTGAGATTTTGGATCAACGCATCCAAGTGGTGTCGGGAGAATCTGCAGGGAAAGAATGGACGTCTTGACAAAGGTCATGGTTTGGATAAGTAGGTACTTCACCTTGACTTCACCTGTAATAATGATATCAATTTAGGCTACGAGGTCTCTATTACCGCGGCCGAGCTTCACTAGATGGAACGGAAGGAAGAGGCTCGAGTCGCGTCAAGACCCTAGTACTATTATCTCGGCCCAAAATACTGCGAGGGTTCTAGTCATTACACCGACATCCTCTAGCTTGAGAGCGGACTGCTTAGGCCTAGGCCGGACTAGTCTTAGGCAGAAAGGTGATTAATTTTAGTGAAGGAGGCAGGCGTTTACAGGCGTTTATCACTTTTTTCCGACGGAAGTTCCGTCGGCTGAATTAAAGACCTTGGATTCTACTTACCAATGCGAACTATTCAGTTGGCTAGTTTACCCCCATGTAGACGAAGATTTAACTATCTAGCTTACTCAGTTTATACAGTCGATTATCATCGGTAAAAGGACAGTTGGCTATGTAAGCGAAATTTTACCTGGCTTGTACCTGGCTAACAACCTTACTCACCGTGAGTTTGTCGTTGAATCTAGCAGGCGGCCGGCAAGCGTCATTCTGAATTCTCAAACGGCTGTTATGGGCGAAAGAAGAGGAAGGAAGGAATCAGGCGGTCCCTGCAAAGTAAGAGTATTTAAAGAGAACGCAGGTTGCACAAGGAGTCCAAGATGCTCGCTACTCAGACCCTACGGGGTTGTTTAATCTCTCTGGTTCTTGCTACCACAGGCGTACGTGCCGCCTCTCCAGAAGTCCAGTTAGGGAATACCACATTAATTGGTAGAGATGTGACGCTTTTGAACCAAGATTTCTTTGGAGGTGAGACACCTTGACGATGGAATTGTTACTACTGACTTGATGAATCCCTAATCTGTAGGTATTCCTTATGCAGAGCCGCCTCTGGGAGCCTTGCGCCTTCAACGACCCGTATTAAAAACAAGCCTCAACACCACTGAATTCAATGCTAGTAATTTCGGGCTCTCTTGCTTGCAAAATGTAGGTTGACTGCCACTACTATGTACTTCACGTCCTGCATCCTTACCGCACGGTGTCTCTGATACTTAATTTAGGTTCTCCCTTTTTCGGAGATTTCAGAGGACTGTTTGACGATAAACATATTTCGGCCCTCTGGTGTAACGGCAAACGCGTCGCTTCCGGTCATGTTTTGGTGAGCATGCATTCAGACCCTCGAGGCTATTGCATTTGTACTTATATTTGGAAAACAGGACGTACGGTGGAGGTTTTTATGAAGGATCATCGACTCAGTACAACGCAAGCGCAATTGTGGCGCAGAGTGTTGCACGAGTGAGTTTATCTTGATTTTCTTTTTTTCTCTTTTCAATTCTGGGGTGCCTCCAACTCCGAATCACTCTCCGACTCTGTCATTGTTCTACTGACACGCTTCTTTGTGGATCTCTAGGGAACTCCTATCATCTATGTCAACTTTAACTATCGACTCGGGCCTCTAGGCTTCCCTCAAGGACAAGAGGCAGCCGATCGCAAAGTTCTCAACTTGGGTCTCAGTGATCAAATTGCTGCACTGACATGGGTGCAAGAGAATATCGGCGCATTTGGCGGAGATAAAAGTACGAGCGTCATCTCAACTGGTATTTCAGAGATATCAAATTCTTATTAGGCAAGGTTACAATGTTTGGAGAAAGTGCGGGTGCTGGCATGACAGCTATCCAGTTCTTGAATCCCGATATCTCCAAGTTTGCTAGAGCAGCAGTAAGTGAGGCATCCATGAAGTCGAGTATTCCTGATGCTCAACATTCACAGATATTCGAATCTGGGTCTGCGGCAACAGCTCTTACGTATGGACCTCTACATCGCCAGGTGGACTGGGACAACTTTCGTCTCTGGGGTTCCGGGATGCCAGAATCTTGCTTCGACGAATCATACGTTTGAATGTTTGAAATCTGTTAATACCACAGCCATTTTCGATGGCCTGGTTATTGCGCAAAATGACCTTACGGAGCAGTTCCCTTGGTCTCCGGCTATCGATGGAATGGGTGGTTTCATACCTGAGCTGCCATCCTTGTTGTTCTCGAAGGGGGTCTTTGCGAAGATACCATTCATCGCGGGCACGAATCTGGATGAAGGTTTGTCATTTTTCGCTTCGTTCCCATTGTATGCTTGATAGTTTGCCCACTATGAATAGGAACCCTTTTCACCCAAACTTCCTGCAGTGATACGACGGACATTTGCACCCCACCTACCGATAATTTGACTACGGAACTTATCGAGAGCATAATCATTGCGAACTACTCGCCTCCCGCCGTAAAATCTGTTTCGGAATCTCAACTAAATAAAGCAA